TAAAGCATAGATTATAATATGTCTTTTTATTTTTCTTGTTTTAGATTTTTCTACTTAAACTATCTTTTTTTTCATTTAATGTCATCAAATTGGTCAGATTGAATGGGTCATCAGAATAAATTAGGTAGATTCCTCAGCCTGAACTAACCTGATGAATTGACATTTGGTTTACCACCAGAATCCAAAACAACAATCTAAATTCAAATTTTTAGAAAAAACATCTTAGTCTCACATCAAGTAGATGAACTCTTATCTTGATTTTTGATAATCTCAAATAAATGACATTTCGATAATCTTCAAGTTGATCGTACACTCAACCTAAGGCACATGTACGAGATTGAAACCCCAAACAGGTTGAACCATAGTTTAAGGCCTATTGTCTTTCAATACCAACTTTCACGATGACATCGACTATAAGGGATCAAATCTCATGTCATCCTTTTTCACCTATTTGGCTTGCATGAAATGTGTTAATCATACACCCAACAGTTTGATACTCAGATTGCTTGGTTAAAGAATAAAATGTTAGCGGCATTTGGTGGTTAAAATGATATAGTGATCTTTTTCCTCATTAGAAGCCCTAAGCAGATAACCATGAGTAATTCAGATATTTATGCCAACCTAACATATCAAGTCAACCTAACACACTTAGTATCATATTAGTTCGGCCACTTCATTATTGTCCCCCATTGGTCATTTATTTCTCATTTATAAATAAAAACATCCAAGCACTACCAAAGCATATTTCATACAATCTTAATCTTTTACATTTCTTTCCTTTTGACTTTCTTATTCTGACTTATGCGTTGGAGTGCAAATATAGGGAATACTCATTGCCTTTACATCTAACTACTCTTTTACAACCAATTATTCTTTTAAAAATACCCTTATATCGAAGTTCGGCACAAACAAAAAGCTTTCATTTCCATGTTCAAGCTGTTAGAAAAAATCAGGAACAAGATTTGAAACTATGGTTTCCATTGCAGCAGAGTTAATTATGTCAAAAAAACATCATTACTTAAAACTCCTGGCAAACCGTTGAACCTATGCCTACAATAGCAACTTAACAAGCATTCAAATTATTGAAATTATCTCATTTCTTTTACATTGCTTTCAATTTCTCCCTTTTATCATCCTCAAAAAGATATTTAGTACTATGAACAAAAGAATAGAAACAATAAGCCTCTTGACAAAAGGTACCAAAATAAAAACCTAGCAATCAAATGCCCAAAAAATAAACAACTTACTACTACTGATATTTATAGAGTGCTGGAAAGAAGTTCAGTATTCATTTAGATAACTCTAAGAATATAAAATTTTAACATTCTAAAATTATACCGTAATAGTTAACCAATTAAAACCAATTATCATTTGTAAGGTTTAAATTCAAATTTCTTTCAATTAATGGTAGATCTTGACATCTAATTTTGAAAGGACCAATTAATAAGATATAATTTTTTTTCAAAAAAAAATTTATCATACTTATTAATGCAAATAATATACTAATAAAAATATGAAGAATTTCTAAAATTATAAAACAAAAATATTATTGTGACAATATTATATTTTTAACAATAATAAGATTTATAATTAACAGTAAAATTACTAATTACACTGATTATCAATGAATTATGGGAACTTTTTTTTTTTTTTGCAATTTAAAATTGAAATAAAAAAGAGATACGAATAAATCAATTATTAAAAATTTTATCAAAACAAGACAAGTAAATATACTCTTAAAAGAATGATGATGAAATTTTGAGATTAAAAGTTATAGTATTTTTTTCATCTTTTTGTAAAGTAATTCCAATATAATTTTTTTGTTTTAAAAAAAAAAAACACAACAACATAAGATATAGATCTAAAGTAAAATAAAAGTGGAAAATGATATAAAGGAAAAGTTGAAGTAAGCTAAAAAAAAGGTTAAAACTCAATTATTAAAACTTGCAATTTCTTTTTCTCTAAATTTCTGAGGTTTTGTCTTTATTGTATTAAAAAATAAAAAGAAAAAGTAAAACACATTTGATATTTATTGAAAATTTAAAGTCTTATCGAGAAAGTTAAAATTTTAATTTGATTTATGTTAAGTTTATATGATTGTAATTTAAAACTTATGGCAAGTCTTTTAATTTCAAAATTTTACAAGTAATGATATTTGGGTATAATAAACATAAAAGAATTAATGTGATATGAATATCTCTTAAATTGTAATGCATAGATTAAATAATAAAACCATAAAAAAATTCATAATTTTATTTTAGGGATTAATTTAAATGTATTTCATATAAGTATATATACATCTATACTACTATTTATAAAAAGTATCTCGAATGATCCTAAAGTTACCATGTGTCCGTTCTTTGGGTTTAATTTGTTGGTTTTTTAGCAATGCACTAAGCCATTAATGATCGTTTTCATGTGCTTTTGTTTGTCTTTTTCTCTTTCTTTTTTTCACACAACTGAAACAGACTGACAGAAAGAGATAAAAGAAAATAGTATTCAAAATATGAAACTTTCTCTTTTAATCAAACCATCTTTTAATCCTCATTAATACTTCTACCATTCCCTTTTGGTTTCCCTCACATTTTCCTCTTTACAAAGGTAATGCATATTTTTTCTTCCTTTACTTTTTCTTCTTTGTTTTTTTTTTAAATTTTTTTGTTATTATTATATCATCAAAACCAGAAAACAACTATTGTTTTGGAAGTATTTGTGTTAGATAGAAATCAGTTTGATTCCTGATAAACCTTGCTGGGTTACATTCTGGTGAATGAAAGGTTTAGTTTTCATCAGTTAATTATTTTTTTTTTTTATTTTAACTCTCTCACTCTTTAATGAGTAAGGAAATAGGGAGAATATTCTAAGATTTTGGGTTTTTTCTTAAACATTTGTAAGGGAATTCAAGGATGAATCTTATTATTTCTTTAGTAGTCCAAAATTATTAAGGTGGGTTTTTTTAGTAATGTATTGGGCATTGTTTGATAATGAAGTTACTACCTTTGAAAATTCAACTAGATCGAGATTCATGACTTTGGTTTTTGAGAGGAGAGAAAGGTTTGTGAGGGACAAGTTTGCTAAATTTGGTGGGATTCTTCTAGGATGGTCTTTAGTTCATTATTAAAATAGATTATTTCAGACAATTTTTCTTACTACTAGATTTGTTTTTGTATCAAATTTTTGTTAAAACTATTTCTTTACTGGTTTGTCTAATCCAAATCTCCATATACTCGTAAATCTTCAAAGTTCTCTTTATTGTGATTTTCCTTTTTCCTGAATTTATGTTATAATTATGTTTTCTTTAAGCCATGAGATTTATAGATCTCTCAGCTTAGGTTACTAAGCTTTCTAACTTTATACGTGAAATAATGCTTCTTGGTGATCATGTATCTGAATCTACAAACTTGGATACATCTAAGGGGCACTAAGCCTTTTCTTTCTATTACCATTAAATTTATTATGGAGAAAACCTCTATTTTGATCAACTAATTATAAATGTATACCATCCAGATGAGGTGTGACATCACATTTTTTAAATTTTTTATATTTTTCCAAAACCAAGGAATATCACTCTATGAAATTTTAACTGTTTATTGTATAAAGAGTCTGTGTTCATATTGATCTCATGCAATTTGAAGATGGAATTGGCATTGTCTCCTTAAAAGTCATCATGTGTAATGCATTTCACTTGAGTTGGAGGTCTTGATGAGCATGGTGAAAAGCATCCAATTATAAGAAAAATGCATGTTCTATTACCATGGATGATTTAAGTAGGCTCTCTGTTCATTAATTTTCAAGATGTAAATACGCTTTGTAGTTGATAAGAGTTTGAAGTTTGAGGAATGCTTCGTTCATTAAGTAGGAAAACAATAGAACAACACATACTTTAGTAAAACATAATCTTTCTATTTTAAAATGTTTGTATTGAGTTAAGAAATGTATTACTAATATTAGTACTATTTTTATATTTGATGTTTTCATGTATGCTTTTTTTAATTCAAGAACTAAATATTATCAACTATTTTAACAAAACATAATCTTTTCATTTCAAAACATATATGATTTTTCATATTGTTCTTGAATTAAATTTTACATTTTTTTATACAATTCTCTTCAAATCTCAACAACCCTAAATGAGTTTGAAATTCTAAATCATGACTAAAGTAATTTGATCTAAATAAAAAAAAATTGCATCCTTTACTTCTTTAATTTTTCAATTTAATTTTTTTACAATACAAAATTATTATTTAAAATTAACAATTTTATATTTATAATTATTTTATCTTAATTACATATATCACCTTTTATTAAAATTCAATCAAATATCAATTAAATGAAATATTAAAATTTTTTTAAATAAACCGAGCGAAGCCGTTGCCCCGCACTAATATACTGAAGAAATAAGGGATTTTAAAAATGTTGGCGGCCAAGGCCCCCGTCTCATTTTATCCACCGCCCCAGTTTTTAATGAATGAATTATAAATTTATTATAAATTTTTGTTAAAACGCGTAATGCCTTCTTAATTATGAAAAAAGTAAACTTCTCAAACTTTTTGTTAAAAAAAAAAAAAAGCTATCACGCGGCAATGTCCTTTTACGTCCCAATTTTTGCTACAATTGGCTCCTATCAACAGCTTTAACGTTTTCAAGACAACTGCTTTGGTGAAAGGCTGAAAATGTTATCATCGCAATCCCATTAATGGATTAATCCACTTTTGTACTGTATTTAGTTTATAAAAAACACACTGAAAGATCAACATTATTTTTTAGAAATTTCTATTTCGATCCAAAATTACTATTATACCCAAACCAACAACGATCTCATACGAAATGGTTTTTGTTTGGGCAATTAAAGCCAAACAGAGTCTACTTTCGTAATTCCACAAATCACAGAAAAATTCTCAACAAATCACTGCAAATTCTACTTCATCCTGCCCACCACAAACAGGCACACATAAAAAACGTTCGTTCATTTGTCGGTCATTGTATTTAAAATAAAATAAAAACCCACCGAAGCTCCGGAAAGGAAAATCAGAGATCTAATTTTCTTCGTAGATCTGAAACTTTTTAACTCAGATCTACACCTGAATTTTTTCCGTTTCGCTCATGGCGATCTCTCGCTCCTTTTTGCTTTTTCTTTTGATCTCTCTTTTGTTTCTTTTGGTTTTTCTGAGATCCGTTTCACGGAGATCCGATCCGATGACCGCGCCATTATCCCCTTCGATGAGTTTGGATTCACCCACAGCGGCCTCCTCAAACTCAACGTCTCTCAGATCGCTCTCTCGAACCCCGACCCGGACCTTGACTTTTCCAAAGTCGGATTCTTCCTCTGCACACCTGACGCATGGATGCACGTGCTCCAACAACTCGAAGACCGGGAGGTCACATGCGTTCTCAATTCCGATCTCGTCAAGGTCGTCTTCAACTTCAAGTCTTTAAACGGGAAATCCAACTTCGACACCGTTTACAAAGAAAGCGACGCCGATCAGTACACTCTCGTCTTCGCTAACTGCCTTAGTCAAGTCAAAGTATCGATGAACGTCCGATCAGCGATGTACAATCTCGACGGCAAGAAAAACACCCGGGATTATCTCTCTGCTGGCAGAACAATTCTTCCTAGGGTTTACTTCCTTTTGTCCCTAATTTATTTCACTCTCGCAGGGGTTTGGATTTACGTGCTTTACAAAAAACGACTCACTGTTTTTAGAATCCATTTCTTTATGCTGGCCGTGGTTATCTTAAAAGCTTTTAATCTGGTATGCGAAGCAGAGGATAAGTCTTATATTAAACGAACCGGAACTGCTCATGGTTGGGATGTTTTGTTTTACATTTTCAGCTTCTTGAAAGGAATCACGCTTTTTACGCTGATTGTTTTGATTGGTACCGGGTGGTCGTTTTTGAAACCTTACTTGCAGGACAAGGAAAAGAAGGTTTTGATGATTGTCATTCCACTTCAGGTTGTTGCTAATATTGCCCAGGTTGTTATTGATGAGACTGGACCTTTCGCTCAGGATTGGATCGCGTGGAAGCAAGTGTTTTTGCTTGTTGATGTTGTTTGTTGTTGCGCGGTGTTGTTTCCGATTGTTTGGTCCATTAAGAACTTGCGTGAGGCGGCTAGGACAGATGGGAAAGCTGCAGTGAATTTGATGAAGTTGACTCTGTTTAGGCAGTATTACATTGTGGTGATCTGTTATATTTACTTTACGCGTGTTGTGGTTTATGCTTTGGAGACTATTACTTCATACAAGTACCTTTGGACCAGTGTGGTGGCTGGGGAGTTGGCCACACTCGCGTTTTATGTGTTTACAGGGTATAAATTCAAGCCAGAGGCACATAACCCGTATTTTGTGATTGATGATGAGGAGGAAGAGGCTGCAGCAGAGCAGTTGAAACTTGAAGATGAGTTTGAATTGTGATAACTTTCATTGAGGAAAAAAATGGAAACTGATTGAAGAAATTGATGCAGGGAACCAAACTGGGACAGTTGAGGTAGAAACCTGATCTTTAAACTTGGTACCAATGTTAAGAAAAAAGTGTGATAATTCTTGCTTGTTTTTACTTGTTATGCTTTTTTTATATACTGTGCCGTTTCTTTTTTGAAGTTGATAGGATAATTTTAAAATTTGATGCTTCTCTGTGAATTTGATAGCTTGTGTAATTACATGTCCAAAATTCATGCCTTACTTTTTGTTCAACTTCTTGTTTATTCACTACTCATTCTGGCAATATGTTGTGAAACAGTGCAGTTATAGTAATCATATAGATTGATATATGTTACTTATATTCGTGTATGTATCTAAAAGTCGCATTGTTCATAGACTTGCCAAGAACTAATTACAATTTGCCAAATGAAATGCTCTTTTAGTGAAGAGGGGTTGCTGTACTACTGAAGCACTGCCTGGAATATGTGTTGGTGCATTACTTTTAGTGGCTTTTTTATACATGTGAAGTGATTTTGATATATCAAATGTGCCTGAAATCTAGTCATAGCACACTTACTTTAATGAATCTGAACTAGCTATCAACTGAATCTGAAATCCAATTTCAAAGAGCACTCCAAGTTGCATATAGCCACTTAACACTGATCCATTTACTGTGGCTTACTTTCCACCGCTATCCAGGCTTCAAATGTTCCTTTAAAATGCAAATGGGTAAATTTAGTCAAACTATTATTTCTTTTCCTTAACAGAAAATATAAATGAAAATTGGAAAACCTTGAATGACTTAAAAAATTGTTTAAAATTGTGGCAATGCTATTAGGTTTAATTTTTTTTCCTTCTGCAAATAGATAGTTTTAGCATTCATTCCCGTGATGTATTAGAGTGATCTGACCAAAATTGCTTCGCATAATATTGGAAAAATTGCCCTTAGATGTCAGTTAATGATGGTATCCTCTGATTAAGTTGATGGTTCGTTAATGCTACTAGATCTATTAGATGTTCTGGATTGGATTTTGTGGCATGGGTTTGATTTGTGATGTTCAGCCTTTAGAATAGATCCTGGTTGGGCATGACAACCTACAGCAAATTGTGCTGAATGCAACATGTGATCATTACTTGACCTGTTCTAAAGTAAAGTATAGAAGTTATCTTTTGAACTTGAAATCTTTGGGAAATTTTCTTTTGGGCCATCATTTTCTGACACCTACTTATTTCCATTATGATGAGGTTTACTCTCAAATGCATGAAAATTTCCAGCCACTAAGAAAAATGCAATTCCCATTATGCTTTGAGCACTGTGGATAATCAGTTTATTCAATAGTTTGACTTTGCTAATAGATTTGTCTAATCTGTGCTTTCTTCTAGCTGATTTAGTGGATCTTAATTGCACATTTTGTGTGCGATCAACCACCTTGTGAACAAATCATTGTTTCCAATCTTTAAAAAGAAAAAGGGATCACAGAGGGATTACTGACATTGTTTGCAACTTTTTACTTGGACTTGGTGAGGACAGAGCAGATTGTGATATTTTAGCTGTAGAGCTATTTGAAGTAAATAGGAGGATTCTGCAGTTTGAAGATAGTATATTAACCTATCAAGAATTCACCACTAGCAAGTAACTCAAGTTTAGTTAATTGATTTGGATGAGCTAACTCCATATACCAGATGAGAACTTGCATTCTCTATTACTTTCAATGTTCATGATTCTTTGAATTTGAGATTGCTTTATATGGTCCATGTGTTATAGTAATAGTTTCTTAAACAATATGAGATGATTTTTGCAAATACACAACAACTAGCGATAAATTCCAGACCTGTGCTAGTTTATAACTTGCATGTGCATTTCATTTAAGTCGGTTGGCATATGTTGTCTTTGTTTTTTCAGAGATTCCAAACTTGTGGACTGACCATTAAGCACCTTATTCTGTGTATTGAGATCTCATCCTCTTACATTTAGCTACTCATTTGCAGAGCAAGGAGTTCATGTGGTTGAATTGGGTTTGTGGTGAATGTCTGTATTTCATCTAGGTTGGCAGTCAAGATATTTCATGAATTGCAGGCATGAGGGATTCTAATAGTAGTCTAGCTCAGGCTAAGATCTCAATTGTTGATGGTAATGTAGGATTAATATAGAGATTTATGCATAGCTAGTTTGTTTTAATGATTTGGTTGTCTCGGACAAATTGTTTCAAAAGTTTCATCTTGTTGACGCCCATAGAATAGGTCTATGGTAGTTTCTGATTCCATTTGGTTTATCAATCCCATGATTCCTGTCCTAACCATTTCATATTAAATGCTGAGTAACTCTGGTTTTGTATTTATATAGCCATGGTTGATGCAATATGTAGAACCTTTTCCCCACCACTGTGAATGCGAAATTAGTCAGGAGAGCAGGGCATACATGCTCTGTCGGTTACCAACTAGGAAAGAGTTTGATCATCCATGTTGGCTGAAGGCTTGTTTTAGTCTGTCTGTGAAGCTCTTTATTTGTGGTTTGTCTGTCCTCTTCGTGATCACTGTCATCCTGACAAATTGAAACTAATGCTAGAAACTTTACCGAAACTCCTTTGTTTACTCTTTTGACTAAAGTTTTATGCGATGAAGGCCAATATGGAGTTGAGAGGAAATGTTATCAGATATTTCAAACATTTAACACGCATTTGCTCCTCCTTTTACCATTAACTTATCGCTTAAGGGTGATTTCTTGAACCATTCTTTTTGTTTGAGTTAATCCTCACCCACCTGAACCTCTATGACCAGAGTTGTCTTCTAATTTTCATAACTTTTAAATTTAATAATTCGAATATTTGTATTGAATAAAATATTAATAATTTATATATTTATATTATATTTAATGTAAAAATTATATTATTTTATTAATATAAAAATATAAAATTTATTTTAAATTTATTTTTTTTGTTAAAATTTTAAATTTTATTATGTTTATAATATATTATAATATCATATTTTAAATTATCAAATACAGAAAAGCAACGATGTCACTGTCATGTTGTACAAAATTTCTATCCCAGACAGGACACCTTTTCCTCGCTCATCGACGGCCATTTTCTACATGAGGTTAAAAAGCTAGTAGGATGCAGGGGATATGGGACCTCAGATATCCTATTAAACGCACCTTCCTTAGTGTGAACGCATGTCTTGTAACATTTTGTTAAAGTGAGAAGCCATGCATTCGTTCCTTCCAATCTTATTCAAGCTTCTAAATACCACTTTTTATGATTTCAAAGAAGCTCAACTAGGTTACGCTAGGACTAAGGGCTGCCAATTCTCATTCCTGTTAAACAAAAGTTCAATTGAATAATTACAACATTTTAAACTCTTCTAAACTTAATTATTCATGAGTTCTTAATACAAAATATAAAATAATTCAATTCACGAGTGTTTATGGATACTAATTAAAGATGATTAAAAAACTATTTTCAATTTTTTTACTTTTATTTTCATTAAAATTAAAAAATATAATTTTTTCTTTAAATATCATCTAATCACTTTATAACAACATTTCCTAATGTAAAATCATCTAAACCCACTCACAACAATTTGATGAATTCAATGATCGCAAAATGAACATAATTAAATTTAAAATATATTTAATTAATTTATATAATTATTTTTAAAAAAAATAATATTTAATAATTTAAAATTTAAAATTTTAACATTTATAACTTTACTTTTTCTATTCCAAAATTATGGTATTCTTTCTGTAAAATAAAAAACCATAATTAGTATGCTTTCCAAGTGTTAGATACTTATGGCTAACGATTAGATTTAATAATTTTAATAATTTTAAATATGATTAGATTTGATAATTTTAAATATAATATTATGACATAATAAAAAAATAATATAAATAAAAGATATGAAAATTATGAGTTAAAATTTTAATAAAAATTATAAATAGATTTAATAAAATTAAAATATATATTTTATATTTTTAAATCAATAAAAAATATAAATTTAATTTTCATATAAAATATGATATAAATATATAAATTATTAAAATTTTACTTCACTAAATCAAGCTAAATTCTTGGTCCAAATTTAATTCACGATTTTTAGAAAGAGTATAAATATTTATAACTCAATAACAAATTAGTTTCAGCATCACATCAATTGGCTTTGGTCCCCCCACACACTCGCACGGAACCCAAGTGGACCCTACCATTTTTTCACGACTCGTAACGCCCACACATAAATTAGCGGCGTTAACTTTGACAGAAAAGCCAGCCAACTAAGTTAAAAACAAGTCTTTATCTCCGTGAAACTCACAGCCAATCAGAACTCAGGCAGAGAAAGAAAATCAAAAGTCAAACCATTTCTGTCCAATAAAAAATGGCTGTTTTGTACTTGAACCTGGTATTACAATCTAGGGGAGGGAATTGAAACTCTGTTCGGAAAAGCTAACGTTGGGGATGTCTCGGTGTTTTTGTCAGTGTCAAAAGAGAGACAGACAGACAGAGAGTGAGGAGTCCAGTGCAGTGGGGTGCGAACGTTTTGTCCGTTTTGTCTGTATTCCATGAGGGGTACGAATGTTGGGAGCTAAGGAAGCAAAGCAAAACGCATGGCTGAAAATGGCGGCACAGCTACACCATAATGTTGCCAACTTTTTGTATATTAGCCACAAACAGCAGTTCTTGGCTTGAGAAGCGTAAAGAGAAACAAAAGGGATTGATTTGCAGTGTCGTGTAAGAATTTTTTTTTTGCACAAAGAGTTAGAAGTATCTTGGGGTTTAAGGTTGTCTTGTCTTGGTTTTTTATGGATGGAAAAAGGTGGCATTTTGAGGACATGGGTACCAGGATTAATGCTTTTGTGGGTACAGAGAAAAGTTTCGGAAGATCTGATCAGAGCGATGGTGGGTTGCGTTTGAGGATGCAACAAGTTGAGGAATCTGGTCCAGATAAGAGCTTCATGCCAATGTCTCATCATCAGCTTTCATCGTCATCATCATCATCTTCTTGTTGTGGTGAAGGATTTGATCGAGGAGCTTGCGGTGGTAGGCCCATTGTTTGCAACGCAAGCAATCAGGTACCATGCACGGGAGATATATGTGATATTGTTGCTTCTGCTTCTGCTTCTGCTGCTGCAATGGTGTTGAAGTTTCTGCACATCATCATCCCTTTAGCGCTGATCCTTCTTTTCCCCACAATTCCTCTGGTAAACTCCACTTCTTTCTTCATCCTTTTTCTTGTAACTTTCTATGAAGTAACTAAAGAATAGATTAATGCATGGTCTTTAAACTTAATTAATGTTGGAGAAATGGCAGCGCCGGTGAATGTTAAAGTTCATTTCACTGCAGCTCAGTGGCAAGAGCTGTAGAGGCAGACTGTGATATACAAGTATATGATGGCCTCTGTACCTGTCCCTTCTGAACTCCTTATGCCTCTCACCAGAAACCCTTCAAAGGGTAATGTTTTCCTTTTCTTCTTTTGTTTATCAATGTAGACGTAGTGTCAAGTTATGCTTTTCTTGCATTAATTGTAAGTGGCGTATGCATTTTCTTGGTGTTGATAGTGATAAAAGGGTGTTTGGAATTGGGGTTTTCAAGCAATAGCTCAGATCCGGAGCCATGGAGGTGCAGAAGAACAGATGGGAAGAAATGGAGGTGCTCGAGAGACGTGGTTCCTGATCAGAAATACCGTGAGCGTCACTCTCATAAGAGCCGACCCCATTGAAGAAAGCGTGTGGAATCGCCCAACACTCCATCTACAACAATGATCACAATTCACAAACACTTGATGTGACATCTGATAGCAGCAAGCAGCCTCATCAAAATCCTCATTTCATCAACCACAGCGATGCTCATTTATTCACATCTTCATTTGATCAACCCAGGTGGGCTCTGGATTCCCAATACTCTGTCTTCTCTGAATCTGATAAACCAAATCTTTTATTTCGTGTTATGAATGCATCATGTGGACATTTTTTGTCCTATCTAAGTTACTATTATAATAAATAAGTGATTGTTGATGGTTAACTCTTGAAGGTGCTTGGAGTGGTTCATGAAAGGTGAGAGTACCGTTTCTTTTGCTAGCAATTCCAACCCAGAGTGGCAGCAGTTGAAGACACAAGGGATAAAACATGGCGGAAATGTGAGTGAACATCAGCAGCATTATAAAGACCATCGCCTCATTTTGCAAGTACAGCATCTAAACAAGCAGTTTAGCCCAGTTTAGGCTCTTTGGGGGGATCCTTGAATCTCAACCAAACACAGTCAGAAGAGACGAGGAGCTTTGTCGATGCATGGTCAACAGCAGAGAGGGAGGCTGCTGAAATGGATGGAATTGGGGGCCCTGTTTCTTCAAACGAGAAGCTAGCACTCTCTTCTCTTAAACTGTCATTGTCTGATGGGAATGGAAACAATCAAGAATAAGACGATGAGAATAGTCATCAAATGATGTTTTTGGTATCATGGGCTAGCAACGGAAAATGTGAGGGCTTTGAGACCCCAAATTACGGATCCTATTTATGGATGCGTTCGCTGCCTGGTGGACCACTGGCTGAAGCATTATGCCTTGGCATTGCAAGTAGTCAAAGCACAAGTACGACTAGTTGCAGCAAGAGCACATGAGACGATGGCCAGTGGCTAACTTTTATCAACTTATGGATAAGAGCTTTAGAACTTGGACGATGTTTGAACATTTCTATGTCGGACAAGGGTTTTTTTTTTTTTAATTCAATGTTACTGACTTGCTGCTACATGGAAATTTCCATTAAGCTTTTATAGCTAAGCCCTATCTTTTGGAATGAGATGATCAGTGAATGCCCTGATTTCTTCCTGGTTTTGGAGAAGGGGCATGCTTTGGTCTCCTTGCTTTTAACAGCAGTGATTTTGAATTGTAGTGCAAAAACTTTAATCGATGCTTAATTTCCATTAAAATCAATGCTACTATCATTTATTAAATCAATTTATTATGTAGCAGTATCTGGCGAATTCGAGATTAAAATTTTAAGACCTAGAATCAAGAAGCAGGACTGCTTACAACCATCAAAGACAAAGCAAAGTCACAATCCGCAAAATCAAAGAGAAGTTTTCATCTTCTTCTACACGATAGTTCCTTAAAGATTGGGAACCATTTTCCCTCCCCTTTTGATAGAAGAACTCTTTACCAATAATTTATTGACATTTTTTGTGATTTTTCTTTTCCTATGTGAAAATTCTTTGGTGATTATTAATAGGTTTTAAGGGTTTGAAGCACCCGCCAATATTACAAGCTAAACATGGGCTTCAGCCTGGTGGTTCAAGCTTCCCACTTTAGGTGGTTTCCTCCGCTTGGGTCAGGAGAGAAACCTGGCCCCCAATGTCAAGAGGAAGGGGGTTATTTATCCGGCCTTTACTCTGGAAAAGCAGGGCTTCCCATTTTGAGCTCCTGAATGGTGCTGCGAAAATAAAAGGAAAACGCCTATAGCTATCGGGCTAGGCCACAAAATTTGTTTTCAAATTTTAAAATGAGATAAATAATGACTAAGAATCATATCATTCATGAAAAGCAAACATCAATATGTCTCAATTTCTCATTTCAACCATCTTAGGTCAGTAGCTGATCTCTTTTGTTCGAAAAAGCTGTAGTTTTCCTAACAAAAGAATTATTTCAACAAATAAAATTTTCTATTATTCAAATAACAGAAAAATTATTGATCGAAAAATTTTCAAAACATTATTTTTTTATTTATATTTTTATTACAGAAATTAACGATTCCATTCCAAAAATCAAATTTCGCCTTAATCATGAACCTTTTGATATAATTAGTATCAAATTGGGAATAGTTGACCAAATCTTGGTCCAAAATTTTTCTTTTGAATTTATCAAAAATTTCTCAACTTTTATCAAGTATCAATTTTACCAAACTGTAAAATATGCTAAACACTTCTACTATATACATTTCACCATAACTAGCCCTCTTAGAGTCTTTCAAAGAGAAAGATTTTATCAATTTTACCAAATTTGAGAAATTAAAAGAGTAGCTGCAAGAGCCTTCCTTGACCCTCCTACAAACGCTCAAAACCACTCTAATGATTTAAATAAAATCATATCCAAATACATCAACCATTCTTAATACCAATTCCAAACATAAATCTCTATGACAATAAAAGCAAAACACTTGCTTTTTATCTGGCCACTATTACAGAGTTTCTCAGAATATCTGTAGAAATTAATGGACGAAGAATAATAGTAAGATATTATTATTCTTGTCATGATGACCTAGAAATAGAAAGTGAACCAGAAGCGATCCAACTCCTAGAAAAACTTCCAAAAATGGAAGGCATCGATCATCCTACAAAATGCTATATTGGTATCAAGAAGGATGGCAAATGTGTAATAAGACCAGCACCAATTCACCTCAATCTTTTAATCCAAAAGACGAAGAATTGCATAATCCAAAAAATGCTATGGAAGGATAACCCATTATGTAGATATTCCAACCAAGAATAAGCCTAGACTAAGCTGATCTTAACTGTCAATACAAAAAGATAAAAATATTCAAAGTCAAAGACCAACTATACTGTAGCAGTTACTGTTCTCGATAAAAAATATTGTAGCAGTCACTATAGCAAATAAAAGACAGAGACCTGCCACAGAAACTATTGTAGCAAGTCACTGTAATAGTAATGTAGATAAAAATTTTACTGTATATTATAACGGCAACTGTACATAATTACTGTTCATGTTTTTATTTATTTAAGCCTTCATTGCAATCAGCCGGGGGAGGCTTTTCAGTCATTGTTATCCCTTGTCTTCTTAACTTACCTTCCTCTCTTTTTTTCAGACCATCCTCCAATCCTTATATATCAACTATTTCCTTTTAGTTGTCTACTATTTATATTTGATCCTTTCTGCATCTTGTAAATACAAAATTATTTATATTTATTGAAAATAATATCCATCTAATGTTAAAAAATTTGTGATGCATTTGCATAGACCAAAATGCACTAAAAGCAGTTAAAGGTTTACCCACGCTGAAGTTTAGCTAGAACAAGACAAAAGAAGTACAGTATAAATATCTGTTGGCCCTGGCTCGTACGTGCTTTTCTTTTTCATCTTATCCTAATTCCTTAAAGATGGTCACCTTTTTCCTCAAAATCTTGATAGGTGAGACAACACTATCTTCCTCGACACCACCATAACAGATTGAATTTTTTTTTTTTCCCATTTGCAAACAATATATGACTGATCACCACTTTTCCAATGCGATGCCAGAATGCAACCAAGTGGATATAATTATTTGTGTTGTTGGTGTAAGACCCATGACACACAATCACATGAGCCCCAGATTCCAGACTCTTAAGTCAGCACTAAGCTATGATTAAACTTTGTCAATCTCTTTTCAAGATAGTTAACCAATTAGGGTAAGACCACAATCCCCTTTGGAAGAGATTACCAAGTAAAAAAGAACATATTAATCTCTAATCCCAATAACAACATTTCCAGAGAGATGATCGGTAATTAGATCGATTACACCGTTATTAAGTCCCCTTCTAATATTTAACCCTTATTTATGCAAATACGTATGTATATGTATGTATGTATTTATATATATGATCTTGACATGTACTCCTATTATACCGACAAATGGCATAAGGGGTCTGATGACGACGGTGAGGATGACTTCGTCAAGCTCCATAGATCATTCTCGTTGCTGTAGACTTGCGAGTTTTGATTTGATCTTTGCAAATTTATATGCGATGATTGACTATCATCATCGTGGCAAAGACTGAAAACCGCATCAGAGTCACTAAAACATGATAATTGCTTGCTTGTCTCTACATGACCATTTAGCTGGAATGCCACAAGTCGGTCCAGGGTGACCCAGTTATTAACGCCATTTTTGGACCCATTAGTATTCTGAAAAGAACCTGGGTGATCACAAGCACCGTCCCCTTGGTTGATTGAAGGTGGCTCAGTTTCAGTCAGCATATCATCGATGGATTGGTAACAAGACTCGAATCTCCTTTCTTCATCAAAGGGTGGACTACTCATGGGAAGCGAAGGGAGAGTTGGGCTTTCGAGCCTGGGGAGATGCACAAACCTTTCATGTAACTCTTCGCCGATTCCTGCGTTGTTTGCTACAAGCATTCTTCGATTGTTGCTGTTGTTGGTGTTGGGGATGTTCATGTTACTCAATGAATCATTCTCCATCTTGCAAGTCCTTCCCATATACAGAAGAATTTGATCTAGAACCCCAACGTTGGCTGAACAAAGCATCTGTGTCTTTGAATCCAGAGAAGTGGACGAGGAGCTTTTAGGACCCTCTAGGGTTTTCTGATAATTTTTCTTTCTAAATACACGGCAAACCACCCAGCCATCTTCAGACACGGAATCTCCGATGGGATTGGAAGCCTGGACCAATTTAATAATTTAATATAAGCAAAACAGATTAATGACAGAGCATTTTGTTGCTATTAAGATTACAAAGAACTACTAGTAAAATATCAGACAGATTTGTACGAAATGCTTGATTAATGATACTCCAATATTATATAAATACATACATACATACATACATACATACATACATACATATATATATATAAAGAAATATTGGAAGAGGTTTGCTTACATTAGAGTCATAGGGAGTGTTATCATCCAGCCTGTACTCGTGCATAATCCAATCAGATTTTTGTCCATGTGGAGCTCTTCCTTTGTAAAAAACCAATGTCTTCCTCAATCCAATTCTTCTAAAGCCACTATAGATAATCTTATCACGGCCAGTTGCTTTCCAGAACCCGGCAGCCGTTGCACGATTAGTTCTGGTCCCCGTTGGGTATTTCTTGTCCTTGTGGCTGAAGAAGTACCAATCGTTTTGTGGGGTGGATCCTATTTTGCACTTCTCTGCGCATAACCCACAAAAGGCATAATTTCATAAAAACCCTACTTGTTAATTAGACTCACATGTAAAAGAAAGACCAAATAACATTGTAGAGAGAAGTTAAAAAGGGTTTGTTTGATTTGTTATTACCTTGTATATCCCATGGCTCAAGCTTGTTGAGATCAACTTCCCTAATAACATCAAGGTCTATCTTTTTATAAGCCACTTTCTTTCTGAGGTAATAGTGAAGAAGCTCCTCTTCTGTGGGATGAAATCTAAAACCAGGAGGGACCTGAGACTGACCATTTATGGATAGATTCATATCTTCTGACATTAGCTGAGATCTCTGCAAATCTGGAAAGAAGATGGCTTTTCCTTGCTGAGATATATAACTGATATATAATGTTTAATGGTTGAAAATTAAAATGATCCACTGAGAGAAAGAGAGAGAGAGAGAAGGAAGGGAGCAATAACAAGGCGGAAGAGAGCGGGGTGCGTAAAGGGTAATGCAGTTATGATAATATATAATGGTGGTAGGGCATGAATGGTCCAAAGATGCATGAAAATGGCCATTGGTGTACTTCGCGTGGGGTCTATGCCCTTGAGAAGAACCAGCCACCTAAAAACTAGAGACCACAGAGAGAAACATAGAGAAAAATAAATAAAATGGGTGAATATATATATAAGGGAAGTAGGTCCCACAATATAGGTGGTTACCCCCCAAAAAGATACGTTAGAAGAAGTGTGCGAGCGGGGGCACTCCCACATCTCAAGTATGACCCTCGACCTTAATATATCTATTTGAAAACCACCTCTCTTTATCCCTTAAAGGCATATCTCTTTCATTATATAAATATGTAAACATCACTCGTTTTACTTGTGCAACCACCTCAACGACAAGAGAGCAAAAAAAAGATGATGGGGTGCCACTGAGCTTTCATGGCCCCCCTAGACCAAGAAAACACATCACTTTCTGGTGACTTAGCTTAATTTTTTCACTTTTATCATTCCATAAATCAATAGGATAAAAAAAAAACAAAGAACCCAATTTATTTATTAACTGCATTTTTTCTTTTTCTTTTTATTTTTATTTTTGTAGTTGTATGCTATATTTAGGGTACGTGCAATGTTTATTACTAACGTAAATTTGGAATGCCCCGTGTTCTATACTTTTTGGGAAGGAGGGTATTACTCGAACGGCCCAAAAAAACCCACTTCTTCAATGGTGTCCACGATACGATCAAGAGGGAGAAGAGGAGCATTCTCTCTTTAAATTTGCATGTTTTCCTTTCCTGCATTTCTTTCATTGTTTGCTTTCCTTGATTTTACATGGCAACGGCTGAATCTTTCATTTGATATTAGAAAATGTGATATATAACATCTCAAAATTATAACCACAGGAAAGAATCGCCATTATTTTGTAGACGTAAAGCTTGACCACGCATGATAGTAGCTCTAGGGAAAACCAGCTGATCAGCTTCCGAAATTAATCAAATTATATATGATTTTAGGTGCACTTTTTTCTTGGGTCCAACTTTATTTCAATGAGAAAAAAATAGCTGGCTTTGCTTCTTTAAGATTAAATTTTCTTACAAAAAGTACTGTATAGGTGATCAGAAAGATGGGCTCCAACGTACTAGTAAGGGACTTGTTCATTATTTCATGCTATAAACGTAAAGCGACAAGACAGAAGGGAAAAACACCATGAAATGTAAAAATGGAGCAATGCCAAAAAGGTGCACCATGCATTGATGCTGTGTATAGAAATAGAATCATGGAAAATGCTTTTATCATTCACTCAGGGTCCCAATGACTTATAAGCTTTCCCTTTGCCAGGTTTTGGTCATTCTTTAATCGCAGTGCCTACTATAACAAAGTAATTAACTCAGCTATAAATGGACTATGAAACCTGTGCCTTGATGACCAATTGACCAGCTAAGAAGAGGAATTTTCTCATTAATTTATCTCCAATTAACTTCTATTTCTTAGATATAGATGATAAGGGTGAATTGGGATTTTAATATAGTTGGTTGATGCAATCCCTTTTAAAAATTAATATTTTACAAATTTGAAATTTAAATTTTAATACTTACATCTTTTTCCTTGTAAGATTAAATTAACTTAGGCTTCATTTCGTTGAAACTGTTGCTATTTACTTTTTATTATTGATATACTTTCAAAGAGACCCAAGGTTCATATTTTCTTCTCAACTTCCTTAATGAATAATATACTAGCATTTTTTTATAAATTGCATGACTTTGTGCCATGATATTCTTTTTTTATTCTTAGTGATCCAAAACTGTAGTTATGATTGTTATTGATTATTTTGATAATTGAATTAATTTCCTCATAATGGGAGAGATGAATATATCTCTGCTTCATATGTATAGAATCTATAAAGTTCACATTTAGATAATTTTTTTTACCTTATCTGCATTACATTGATGACGTATTAGAAGAGATTGTAGCCAACAATCTATCAATCCAAACTGTCTATCAAGTGCATATTATTTGCCTATCTTTTACCACTCATAGAATGAATCGAGCTTTTAATAATTAAAAACCTTTCAGAAAGAAATTTTGAAAGATGGGAGACATTTTTACCACGTTAACTTTCCTTAAACAAAGGGGAAAACGGCAAACAAAGGAAAAAAATGGCACAGGATGAAAAAGTTAAGAGTTGCATAAGCACAAACTTGTTAAATTTTGAAACTGCAACCAAGCCAGCCGAAGGCCGGAATCCAATTGGTATGGCTACCAACTCAGTTCTTGACTTGTTAATATTAGTGAACAATTACCAAACTTGACACAATTCTAATTTCAATTTAGGGTCCATAAATATGATATTTCACAGTTGAAGCAATTCCTATATTTACATGCATAGTCTTTGTCAGGGTGAAGAGATAAATTCAACTTTCCACCAAATATGCTCCTTTGGGATGAGAAAATCAATTCATGCGTCAATTACAATAAGTGGAGAAAACATAAATACGGAACCGATTAAAAGCAAGAGAAAAACCAAATGTTTTGTACAGTTACTCGTGTTCAATTTCTTTCTTGGACTCCAAGGTGAATTCGTGCAAGAATGTATTAGTAATCTCTCTTCAAACACCCTATTGAAGTATGACAGAAAAGAAGAATTAACCCACATGCATGGCGGTTTAATTTTGTGTAAAACGAATCACTTTTAAATGTGATAAATAATTCTATATGGTATACTAGCTAGCGATAGATATGTATCTTTAGAAACAGTAGATTTCTTAGATTCGATCTTCAACGACGCTTGTAATTTTCTTTTCTAATTTCTTTAGACTGCGGCTTTTTTTTATTAAAAAAAATCCAATATTACTAATCACAATGGTTCTTTTGTCATTTGAGTTTTTTTTTTTTTTAAAGGAAAAGACAGAAAGAAGAGACCAGTGCGTTGCACCACAACAGGACAAAGATTATAATAGTGTAATATACAATGATAAAGTGAAGTGAAATCTTTTTGTAAATGGAAGTCAATCCCATATTAACAACCTTTGGTCACTAATAAATAGCTTTTGCAATCTCCACATGTGGGCAGCATTTGACGAGAGACAAAATATGATCTTAGTTTTTATCTGACGAATGCACACTATAGCCAAAACCTTTATAAATTCCAAAACGATAGTGCCGATGGATGTATGAAAATCTCGGTGCTAATCGATCTTTTCCTTTCTCTTTCTCGTAACGGTAGCACTACACATATTCTGTTATGACTGGTGGGAGTTACTGTCTTGGTGCTAATCATGATCGTTATTTCTGTAAATTCCATGGCTAATCATGATTTTTGGCCGACAATTGATGGAACAACCACTTCACACTAACCTGCACTAGACATCTCATCTCTCCTTATCACCTTCCATCTTCTTGTTGTAGGTTGCTAGTTTGGTTGAAAGTTTATATTTACATTTATATATGAATATATTAATATTAATCTGAGCTATGCTACTAACTACATTCCTTTTATAAGAAATGTTTAAACTTTTTTTACGACCTAAGTTGACAAATTGTTCTCTTTCGCTGTGGTTGTAAATGACTAGTATTGTAGCAGTAGGCCAGCCTTATTAATTTTTTTTACATACATACAATATTAAAATTTGATAACAAAGAAATGATTATAAATATTAAGATTTGAATTTTAAATTTATTAATATCATTTTTTAAAAGTACTTATACGAATCAATTGAACTAAATTTCATATTCAAATGATTCTCATTTTTAATAAATGTGATTCTTTTTTACCCTTAATTTACAATGGTTAAATTAATTTGGAAACTTAGATATAATTTTAAAAAATCACTAAATTAAGTGGCACCTTCAAATCAACCATTATATAATGCTAATCACATACTATACTACGTGGAAATCTTGTGATTATGAAACAAAAACAGAGTTCAAAAGTTATAATTAATTAGTCATGGTGAGGAAATGTCGCTTACAATGACGTTCGAGTTTTGCAATTGTCACATCATCATGTATTAGGCAAACAATGTGAACTACTGACACAAAAAATTAGAGAAAACAAATTAAGTTACCTTATAATTTTTCACGACTAAAATATTTTGCAGAATATGCAATTGTTTGTTCTAGAATCTGTTGTATGAATGGCTTTCCACATTTATCAAATCTGATTTTTTTTTTTTTTTAAAGTTAACTTTTGTAGGGACTTTATGAGAGATGGAAGGAAAAGTATTCAATTAGTAAAACTTTTTTTTAATTAACCAAAAAGATATTTTTTGAACAATGTGGGGTATAGATTTTTGTGGGTCTTTCTTTTAATCGACTCCATAAATGACCTTAAAAAAAGTCATGACTGATGAGCTGTTCTATGTTAAAGAGTTTTGAATGGGAAAATTATTTATTTGAGAACATTTATGTTCCAAAAAAAAAAAATCTTGTTAATAATGAATCGTGTTTACGCAAAAAAAAAAAAAAATCTAATTCAGAACGTTATTAGATTTGGCTTTTAAATTTAGGATATTGATACAAGATTGCAACTAAAACTCTTAATTATTTTTCTAAAGAAAAAAAAAACCCTAAAAAATTTGTTTGACTGGTCAAAAGAAGATTTATTTGTTTTTTTTTTTTTTAACAAATGATGTCTTGAACTGGAAATAAGAAAAAATTTGCAAATATTATCATTTAAATCTATATCTTTTGGATGTTATCTCTTATATAAATTATAAAATGATGCATTCACTAATTGAATTAAGTTTCACATTACAAAAAGGAATAATACCTAAATAAGTCCTCAAACGTTACTTCAAAACTCAAATAAACCCTCTATCTTTTATTATATGAAATTAAGGTTATGAAATTTAATTTTATTGTAATTAGAATCTTGAAATATTCAAATTTTTGTTTAAAACTTTTTAATTGAATGATATAATTTGTAGAAAACACTTAGATTTATTTAGATGGGTTAAATGATGAATATTTAAGATAATACTATTTTAAAATTTTATCAATTGGACATTATTCATCCAATTTTAGGATTTAATGA